ATAAAACCTACACCCCTTGGCCTGTCACTGTTCCCAGAATGTTCTAATCCAGCAGACTCCTCACAAGGATGTCAACCCACAAGCCTCCAAGCCTCAGTGGTCAGTTTTCTGCTCCTTTCAAAGGGCGTCTTCACAGCCCATGGGAATCCCGAGGTCTTCCTGGTTGGGTTAGGTCACTTTCCCCATGACTCACCTGTAGGAAGCCCCGCCCAAATGTCCCCACCACAGGTGGCCTCTGTGGCACTCATTCACTAGTTTACAACTTCCTCTGCTAAGCACATCCAGGCCAGGTGGGCACAGGGCCACCCACAGGCCTCTGGAGCCGATCCAGAAATTCCAGAGAGGGACCGTTTTTAGTTCTTCCCACGTGGCAGCCAAGAGGAGCTGTGCTTGGAATAAGCAGATGGTCACCTCAGCCTACAACCTCCACCTGAGTCCCAGCTTCCTCACACACTGCTGCCCCACCCACGTTCTCCACCTGTATCCCAGCAGGTCACCTTAGTCCTGGCTACACGTCAGTGTCACCTGGGAAGCTTCAAAAACGTTAATGTAGCCAGCCCAGCATGACCAAGCAAATCAGACTCTCAGGGATGCTGGGGCCCTGGTAGCTGTGAAGGCATCCCAGGGGATTCCAGCAGGCAGCCTGGGCTGAGACCCACTGCACTACCCCGACAGGGTGTCTGGCCCTGAGCTGGCTGCCACGCTGATCCACACCGTGTGCCCAGTGTCAGCACACAGGTGCCGACCACTAAGGCCAGGCCAGGTTCTGTTGATGTGTGTGTCCCCAGGAGGGTCCCAGCAGAGGCTAGTTCTGGGTTAAGAGTAGAAGATGGGGTAAGGGGATCTCAAGAGCTGGGTGGGCTCCTACCGAGTCCCCCAACAAGCTGCAGAGAAGTACCCTGATGTCCTTAAGCCACGGGCCATCACTGTGTTGGTTGTCAATGCTCAGCCCTGCTGGCCTTTGTCTCTAGAAGGATGGAGGTCAGGGCCAAGTTTTACCTACTCTCCCAAGATTTTTCAAAGCCAGCCACCTGGCCATCACTCAGGATCCCCGAGAACAGCCTGGGAGGGTTTAAACGTATTAAAAAACACAAAGCCCTCTTCATGCAGAACTCTGACGCTGCATCCCGCCCAAAAACTGGGTCTGACTGCAGCTAACACATCCCTTTGGGAAATCACAGATTTAAAAAATAAAGTAGGACGAACAGAGGTCTTCCTGTCCACTCAACACCCATGGGGCGAACCCTCTGTCACAGCAGACCCTACTGGAAACCTGCCCACCAGAGGAGCTGCTTCCAAAGGCAGCCCGGGCCCCACAGCAAGGCTTCAGCTGCCAGCTGTCTTCCTCCCGGGGAGCCTCACTGGTTTCCCTGGGCCCCAGGCATCTCTGCTCCACTTCTGCACCCCAGGGTGCCCCTCCAGGTGGGGTGCATGGCTCTGAGGGCCATGGGTGAATTCCTCAGAAGCAAGGTTCTGGTCCTCCAGGGGTTACTACCTACCCATGAGGGTTAGTGCAGGTCACATGAGCCGTCCACCACACAGTTTTCCTGACTTTAAAATCAGGCACCTGAACAGGACAATCGTTACAGGCCCAGTCAACTCTAGCATGAGCCTGTCAGTCATTCTCAGGGTGGGAGGCCTTGCCTTCTGACCTCCTGACCCCACCTCCTCCAAAGTTTCCTCATGCTGCTCCCCACTCGTCCCCTGGACCCGGCTTTCACGTCCACTCAGAATTCGTAGCGTGCACACGTCCCCTCTCTAAGGAACTTTAAACTGCTTTTTTGTTTTTAAAACAATCTTTTAACAAGTCAACATATTCTTCAGCACCTGTTAGAGCAGCCTTTATGCCAGTGCCACCACCTGATTTCCAGGCCTGTGACTACTCTGAGTTCACGTCCAAGGTCAAAGCAACACCCAGGAAGAATTTCAGGGGCTGACTTGGGGCTCCAGCGCTCACTCCAGAAGTGTGTGAGTTCACGTTTGTGAGAGAACACACTGGCTTAGCAACATCCTGGCTAAAACCCAGGGCAGAAGCAAGGACCCAGCGAGGGTTAGCTGCCCAGTGTCAAGCACGACCACTGATGCCAATGTGGATACTTCACTTCCACCAAGTGAGCCTAAGGGACCAGGTTTCACAGGCAGACCCAAGTGAGCATCTGGACCAGCCATTTCCCTCTCTGCTCACACTTCTTCAAGTTCCTGTCTCAGCAACTGATGCTTTTAAGTCTGGGTCCCTGATGACCAGGTGGCCTGCTGCATTCTGAGGGCTTCAGCTCACTGTCCCAGCTAATCCAGGCACTGTGTGTGGATTCCCCGAGCTTGTGCTGATACAAAGGTGATGGGGGCAGGGAGGAATGCCGTTCATTCCCTTGTCCCTCATTCTGTGTGGCACACAGGGACCCACCTGTGCCTCTCACTGCAGCTTGTCCCATCTGAGGTCCCCACACTGCCTCTTGAGCATGAACTGCATTAACAGGGGATTGTGGAAGCTGCCATCTCCCAAGAACCAGAGCAAAGCGAGAGGCCTTGCTCTCCCTTCCTCTGCCGGGAACACCCAGTGGGGAGCCCTCTCTGGGCCTGTCACCTCACAGGACTGGGGACCTGGTGGCCGCAGCAGCTGGGCACTTCCTGCAGTTCCCCCAAAGCTGAAACCAAACACAGGAAAGCAACAGTGGGGTGGGGGCCTGGGACCCCACAGCTACAGGAGGCTCCAAGAGATGAGGGCAGAGCCACTGAAGAGCTAACGAGTGGGGGTGGGAGGGCAGACATCTGCTGGCTTTGCATAGAAAGGAGATGTACACCGTGACATTCGGTGAAATCAGAAATCCCCTCCTCTCCAGGCAAGCTGCTTTAGCAGCATCCCAGAGCCCTGCAGATCTAAAATCTCATCTTTGATGTAAGAAAAAATGACTTCCACCCTCAAAAGTAGGAGGAATAAGTCCTGGTTAGGGGTGGTCCCAGTCGGCCCAGGTCACAGGATTTCTAACACCTTAAGGACAACACTGGTTTAAAAAAAAAATCCTTCAAAAAAATTAAACATATAATTACTATATGACTCAGCGATTCCACTTCTGGGTATATGCTCAAAAGAATTGAAATCAGGTACTTGAATGGATATTTGCACACCCACATTCATAGCAGCACTATTCAGCATAGCCAGATGGTGGACACAGCCCAAGTGTCCATGGAGGGATGAATGGATAAATAAAATGTGGTCCATCCATCCAATGAGTATTACTCAGCCTTAAAAAGGAAGGGCATTCTGACAAGCTGCAACACGATGGACCCTGAGGACGGGCCAGACACAAAAGGCCAACTTTACTGTAGGATTCTACTTATATGAGGCATGTGGAGTAGTCAGGTTCATAGCCACAAAAGGTAGAATGGTGGGTGCCAGGAGCTGGGGGAGGGAAAATGGGGAGTTACTGTTGAATGGGGACAGAGTTTCAGCTTTGCAAGATGACAAAGTTCTGGAGATGGATGGCAGTGATGGCTGTACAATTCAAATGGGCTTAATGCCAATGACTACACTTAAAAGTAGTGAAAATGTTCCATTGTATGTTAATAACATACCACAAGCACAAATTCCTAAGGTTCCTGCAGCCAGTGCAATGCTGGACTGGCTGTGTCAGGGAGGGCATAAGGGGGCTTCCCTGCACCCACATGCACAGACCCCCAACTTCTCAGCAGTATGCTCCTTGAGTTGATGACAGTAGGCTGGGTGATGGCCACCAGGCTTCATTTTATTCTTCTGAGTATTTATTTAATAATGGCAACAATAAAGGAAAGCCTTGTGCATGCTAAAGAACCCAGACCAGTCAAACTGGCAGCCACATGTGGTTCTGAACCATCCTTCTCCTCTTACATTCACCCACCACCTTTTCTGGCTGCTTCCCTGCCCACCCAGGCTGGATGAGATCCCTGCTGGCTGATTTTCTGAGGGTCGGAGGAGAACCAGCCCATCACAGGTCACACCCAGTGCTGGAGCAGGACACCTCAGGGGTGACAGCGCGTCTAGGCCTGCAGCCCAGTGGCCGCTGCCCTCCCTGCTCTCAGAGGGTCAGGCACCTGCCTTCAAAGCACAAGCTGCCCTCAGATCAGCCTCGGTCCTATGAGGCCCCAACAGCCAGTCTGCTGTCTGTTCTCCAAGCCTTGGTTCAAACAGCTCCAGCAGCTTTCAACGGCCCGCCCCCCTTTCTGCCAGGCCCAGCGGGGACCCCTGCTGCAAAAGCTCCCATGACATGCGTGCAGAACCAAGCCTGGGCCACCAGCCACATGTCTCCTCGTAGCAGCCAAGCCAGGGAGGACCTCCCATAAGTGCCCTCCGAGCTGTGGCGCAGCTTAGAGCAGTGAGAATGCCAGGCCAGGCCAGGCTGGCACACAGCTCACGAGGGGCCAGCACAGGAGCCTATGGCAGCCCCAGGGCTTTGTGCCCATGAGAAAGGGGACAGCCCGGGGGCTTCTCTGTGCCACAGGGCACCTGCTGAATGTGCCGTTGTGCACTAGCCACGTGACCTCAGGGCCTCAGTGCCATCTGTTAATTGAATCTGACAGCAGGATTGTTAATGACAATGAGACCTCAAGAGAAAGACCTTAATGGATGGAGTCATCAGCAGTGCCCCCTACGGTACCAGGGAGCAAGTCTGTAGCACAGGGCAGGAGCCCAGACACGGCCCCCACTCGCACCACCAGGGCCACCTCCCCGGGTCCCACTGGCGTAGACAGTGGCATTCTACCTCGGCTCTCTCAGCCTCAGCACATGCTGCTGCTTCGTCCATGCTCATATCTCCAGTTCAACACACCTAGCAGGTGTGCCAGACGGAGGGCTGAGGAAGGAGCCTCCGGTGCCTCTGACTTCCAGCCATCGGCTGCTCCATCACCTACTTGCTACCTGCCCCTGATAAGCAGGGGCACTTCAGGGAGCCTCCAGGAGGAGCACGGCAGGCCTGGAGCCGAGCCCCAGCCCCGTGTACACCTGGCCCACCCACTCTGAGGCTCACCGCTTTGGTGGACTCCAGGGTGTCCCGGCTGCCCCTGGCCTTGCTGCTGAGGTGGGGTGAGGAGGAGGGCGAGTCATCGATGTAGGGCAGCCCGTCCTGGTGTTGGCGCTGCTCCTCAGCCCGGTCCGCCGTGCAGCTGTACCCGGGTGGCGTCCCAAATGCTGCATCTGTGTGCAGAGAAGCAGGCTGTGTTAGGGACATGCACGGGGAGGAGGGCTGCCTGCCCAGAGCACCCATGCCCACCTGTCCCAGCAGGCACTAGGCTGATGCTGCCTGTCACCCGAAGGCATGCACCAAGGACCTCAGTACGCTGACTCACCTTCATGACTGACAGGCCAAAGACCACAGGAAGGACAGAGCAGTGGCCAGAGACGATACAACACGGGGTTTTCCAATGCTGTCTGGGGCATGTCCTGGGAGTGGACTTGAGCCATTACAGAAAGGTGGACCCCAAATGCTAGTGCCAAGCTGTCAGGGATGGTCCTTCTACACCCATCCATGTGATGGCCAAGGAGCACAGGTCAGCAGGCCAGCCCAGGGAAAGGGCACCGCAGCCCCTCTCCCCTCCCCAGTCCTGTCTCTCAGCTGACTCTGAGCCCATCTCTCACTTGGCCTGGAGGAATTCCAGGCCACCTCTAGCCGAGTCTGAGTGTCCCTGTGAGGAAAGAGTGGTTTATCCTACAACATGCCCCCTGCAACTGGGGACTGCCCAGGTGCAAGAGTAACACCTCCATCCTAAAGGCAGCGAAGGTAGCTGCGCCCTTCCTCTCCAGCTAAATCATAAAACCTACACCCCTTGGCCTGTCACTGTTCCCAGAATGTTCTAATCCAGCAGACTCCTCACAAGGATGTCAACCCACAAGCCTCCAAGCCTCAGTGGTCAGTTTTCTGCTCCTTTCAAAGGGCGTCTTCACAGCCCATGGGAATCCCGAGGTCTTCCTGGTTGGGTTAGGTCACTTTCCCCATGACTCACCTGTAGGAAGCCCCGCCCAAATGTCCCCACCACAGGTGGCCTCTGTGGCACTCATTCACTAGTTTACAACTTCCTCTGCTAAGCACATCCAGGCCAGGTGGGCACAGGGCCACCCACAGGCCTCTGGAGCCGATCCAGAAATTCCAGAGAGGGACCGTTTTTAGTTCTTCCCACGTGGCAGCCAAGAGGAGCTGTGCTTGGAATAAGCAGATGGTCACCTCAGCCTACAACCTCCACCTGAGTCCCAGCTTCCTCACACACTGCTGCCCCACCCACGTTCTCCACCTGTATCCCAGCAGGTCACCTTAGTCCTGGCTACACGTCAGTGTCACCTGGGAAGCTTCAAAAACGTTAATGTAGCCAGCCCAGCATGACCAAGCAAATCAGACTCTCAGGGATGCTGGGGCCCTGGTAGCTGTGAAGGCATCCCAGGGGATTCCAGCAGGCAGCCTGGGCTGAGACCCACTGCACTACCCCGACAGGGTGTCTGGCCCTGAGCTGGCTGCCACGCTGATCCACACCGTGTGCCCAGTGTCAGCACACAGGTGCCGACCACTAAGGCCAGGCCAGGTTCTGTTGATGTGTGTGTCCCCAGGAGGGTCCCAGCAGAGGCTAGTTCTGGGTTAAGAGTAGAAGATGGGGTAAGGGGATCTCAAGAGCTGGGTGGGCTCCTACCGAGTCCCCCAACAAGCTGCAGAGAAGTACCCTGATGTCCTTAAGCCACGGGCCATCACTGTGTTGGTTGTCAATGCTCAGCCCTGCTGGCCTTTGTCTCTAGAAGGATGGAGGTCAGGGCCAAGTTTTACCTACTCTCCCAAGATTTTTCAAAGCCAGCCACCTGGCCATCACTCAGGATCCCCGAGAACAGCCTGGGAGGGTTTAAACGTATTAAAAAACACAAAGCCCTCTTCATGCAGAACTCTGACGCTGCATCCCGCCCAAAAACTGGGTCTGACTGCAGCTAACACATCCCTTTGGGAAATCACAGATTTAAAAAATAAAGTAGGACGAACAGAGGTCTTCCTGTCCACTCAACACCCATGGGGCGAACCCTCTGTCACAGCAGACCCTACTGGAAACCTGCCCACCAGAGGAGCTGCTTCCAAAGGCAGCCCGGGCCCCACAGCAAGGCTTCAGCTGCCAGCTGTCTTCCTCCCGGGGAGCCTCACTGGTTTCCCTGGGCCCCAGGCATCTCTGCTCCACTTCTGCACCCCAGGGTGCCCCTCCAGGTGGGGTGCATGGCTCTGAGGGCCATGGGTGAATTCCTCAGAAGCAAGGTTCTGGTCCTCCAGGGGTTACTACCTACCCATGAGGGTTAGTGCAGGTCACATGAGCCGTCCACCACACAGTTTTCCTGACTTTAAAATCAGGCACCTGAACAGGACAATCGTTACAGGCCCAGTCAACTCTAGCATGAGCCTGTCAGTCATTCTCAGGGTGGGAGGCCTTGCCTTCTGACCTCCTGACCCCACCTCCTCCAAAGTTTCCTCATGCTGCTCCCCACTCGTCCCCTGGACCCGGCTTTCACGTCCACTCAGAATTCGTAGCGTGCACACGTCCCCTCTCTAAGGAACTTTAAACTGCTTTTTTGTTTTTAAAACAATCTTTTAACAAGTCAACATATTCTTCAGCACCTGTTAGAGCAGCCTTTATGCCAGTGCCACCACCTGATTTCCAGGCCTGTGACTACTCTGAGTTCACGTCCAAGGTCAAAGCAACACCCAGGAAGAATTTCAGGGGCTGACTTGGGGCTCCAGCGCTCACTCCAGAAGTGTGTGAGTTCACGTTTGTGAGAGAACACACTGGCTTAGCAACATCCTGGCTAAAACCCAGGGCAGAAGCAAGGACCCAGCGAGGGTTAGCTGCCCAGTGTCAAGCACGACCACTGATGCCAATGTGGATACTTCACTTCCACCAAGTGAGCCTAAGGGACCAGGTTTCACAGGCAGACCCAAGTGAGCATCTGGACCAGCCATTTCCCTCTCTGCTCACACTTCTTCAAGTTCCTGTCTCAGCAACTGATGCTTTTAAGTCTGGGTCCCTGATGACCAGGTGGCCTGCTGCATTCTGAGGGCTTCAGCTCACTGTCCCAGCTAATCCAGGCACTGTGTGTGGATTCCCCGAGCTTGTGCTGATACAAAGGTGATGGGGGCAGGGAGGAATGCCGTTCATTCCCTTGTCCCTCATTCTGTGTGGCACACAGGGACCCACCTGTGCCTCTCACTGCAGCTTGTCCCATCTGAGGTCCCCACACTGCCTCTTGAGCATGAACTGCATTAACAGGGGATTGTGGAAGCTGCCATCTCCCAAGAACCAGAGCAAAGCGAGAGGCCTTGCTCTCCCTTCCTCTGCCGGGAACACCCAGTGGGGAGCCCTCTCTGGGCCTGTCACCTCACAGGACTGGGGACCTGGTGGCCGCAGCAGCTGGGCACTTCCTGCAGTTCCCCCAAAGCTGAAACCAAACACAGGAAAGCAACAGTGGGGTGGGGGCCTGGGACCCCACAGCTACAGGAGGCTCCAAGAGATGAGGGCAGAGCCACTGAAGAGCTAACGAGTGGGGGTGGGAGGGCAGACATCTGCTGGCTTTGCATAGAAAGGAGATGTACACCGTGACATTCGGTGAAATCAGAAATCCCCTCCTCTCCAGGCAAGCTGCTTTAGCAGCATCCCAGAGCCCTGCAGATCTAAAATCTCATCTTTGATGTAAGAAAAAATGACTTCCACCCTCAAAAGTAGGAGGAATAAGTCCTGGTTAGGGGTGGTCCCAGTCGGCCCAGGTCACAGGATTTCTAACACCTTAAGGACAACACTGGTTTAAAAAAAAAATCCTTCAAAAAAATTAAACATATAATTACTATATGACTCAGCGATTCCACTTCTGGGTATATGCTCAAAAGAATTGAAATCAGGTACTTGAATGGATATTTGCACACCCACATTCATAGCAGCACTATTCAGCATAGCCAGATGGTGGACACAGCCCAAGTGTCCATGGAGGGATGAATGGATAAATAAAATGTGGTCCATCCATCCAATGAGTATTACTCAGCCTTAAAAAGGAAGGGCATTCTGACAAGCTGCAACACGATGGACCCTGAGGACGGGCCAGACACAAAAGGCCAACTTTACTGTAGGATTCTACTTATATGAGGCATGTGGAGTAGTCAGGTTCATAGCCACAAAAGGTAGAATGGTGGGTGCCAGGAGCTGGGGGAGGGAAAATGGGGAGTTACTGTTGAATGGGGACAGAGTTTCAGCTTTGCAAGATGACAAAGTTCTGGAGATGGATGGCAGTGATGGCTGTACAATTCAAATGGGCTTAATGCCAATGACTACACTTAAAAGTAGTGAAAATGTTCCATTGTATGTTAATAACATACCACAAGCACAAATTCCTAAGGTTCCTGCAGCCAGTGCAATGCTGGACTGGCTGTGTCAGGGAGGGCATAAGGGGGCTTCCCTGCACCCACATGCACAGACCCCCAACTTCTCAGCAGTATGCTCCTTGAGTTGATGACAGTAGGCTGGGTGATGGCCACCAGGCTTCATTTTATTCTTCTGAGTATTTATTTAATAATGGCAACAATAAAGGAAAGCCTTGTGCATGCTAAAGAACCCAGACCAGTCAAACTGGCAGCCACATGTGGTTCTGAACCATCCTTCTCCTCTTACATTCACCCACCACCTTTTCCGGCTGCTTCCCTGCCCACCCAGGCTGGATGAGATCCCTGCTGGCTGATTTTCTGAGGGTCGGAGGAGAACCAGCCCATCACAGGTCACACCCAGTGCTGGAGCAGGACACCTCAGGGGTGACAGCGCGTCTAGGCCTGCAGCCCAGTGGCCGCTGCCCTCCCTGCTCTCAGAGGGTCAGGCACCTGCCTTCAAAGCACAAGCTGCCCTCAGATCAGCCTCGGTCCTATGAGGCCCCAACAGCCAGTCTGCTGTCTGTTCTCCAAGCCTTGGTTCAAACAGCTCCAGCAGCTTTCAACGGCCCGCCCCCCTTTCTGCCAGGCCCAGCGGGGACCCCTGCTGCAAAAGCTCCCATGACATGCGTGCAGAACCAAGCCTGGGCCACCAGCCACATGTCTCCTCGTAGCAGCCAAGCCAGGGAGGACCTCCCAGACCCAGCGTGCTTGCAGGGTGCCCAGATCCTGCCTTCAGTTGCCTGGATGCCACCAGATGTGCAGGGAGGGC